ACCATCGTGTGTGTGTGTGTGTGTGTGTGTGTGTGTGTGTGTGTGTGTGTGTGTTAAAGCCCCGCCTATTCTAACAGGTTGGCTCTTCCCTGTGAACACTGGTGTTTGGGGTTGTGGTGTGGAGGTGGCAGTGCAGTGGGCAGGTGAGACCTGGAGGGCCTTGGAGGGACCCAGAAACCCTGTGTCCCTGGGAATCCTGCCCTCTCTGCTCCTTTCACCCAATTGCCCGCCACATCCCAGGCCGGCACACAGCGAGAAGGACTCTCAGTGCCCCTCAGCGCTCTGCACCCGAGTCCTGCCTTTAATTAGTTCATCCTTGCATTCTGTCTCCTGACCTGCCCCTCACCCCCTGCTCACCTGGCTGCTGCCCCTTTGCCCGAGCTCCTGGCTGTAACCTTCCACTTCTTAGATCAGTGGCTGCTCCACTATGAACCGCCCAGCGTTCTGCCAGCCTGCTGCTTCTGGACTCTTCCCCAGGTTAAAAAATGACAAAGCACCCGATCCAGCTGCCCAGGGTTCGCATTCCAGAGGCACCTCCTGCTGGGGAGGTGCGGCCTCACCTGCTCCTCTCTGGAGTTGATGACCACCAGGTGGGCATTCTGCAGCTGGCAGTACTTCTCGGCCTGGGGCCATGTCAGTCCAGAGCGAGAAAACCAGTAGCAGCTGCCTTCATACTCCAGCCAGCCAATGGGGCAGCAGGTATTTTGAGAGTCTGAGGTGGGAGTGGGGAGGTTCTGAGATGGTGCCTGTGGGACATGGGCAGGATATGGGGCTAGGTAGGCGCTGCCGTACACACCACTCACCATTGCTCTTGAGCGCAACCAGCTGACAGTGCAGGGTGTTCAGGCCTTTGACCAGTTGCTGAACTCCCTGGAATACTTCAGAATAATCTGGGACACACAGAAGGGCAGTGGGCACAATGCAGGGGCCCATCTGAGGGCTCTCCATACCCTCCCCAGGCCGAGGGGCAGGGGAGGAGGGGCCTGACCTGCTTTGAGTTCCTGCTGCTCTCTCTCCAGCTTGCTCTCCAGAGAAAACACCGTGTCATTCAGGCTACGGGCTGGAGGGGAGGGCACTCAGCACCCCAGGCTGCGCCCACCCCACCTCTGTCCTGAGAGCCCGGCCCCCACCCTCCCACACTCCCTCCTGAGGGCCT